TGTAAAAAATTATACTTAATATTATTATATCTGAATTCACCAATAGAATGAGTTTTGAAAAAATTCGGTGGTACTTTTATACAATGATGATGCACTTTGCCTTAATCCAGTAAACAGAGATACAACACCTTCTTTCTCTTCTTCTTGTTCTTCTTCCTCGGGTAAGTAATCTGGCATATCTTCGTCTGCATCACCATTGTCTCCATTTGTATGAATCTATAAATGTATTATATTTTTAATATGTATATGCACACAATTTCAACATACGCAAGTAAATATTTACCAATGTAACAAGATACTCTTGATTAAGCTTGTTTCTTGCCACTAATCTAGCTTCCATATTGTCTGTATTATTTCGAATAGCTTCTGCAATCTGTTTTGCTGTGACATAGCTTAAAGTACGCATTGTAACACGCTGATGTTCTACATCAACTACAAGGGAAACCAATCCATCAATTCTTATTAATATTGATTCCAACTCTGAACGAGTTTCCTATGTAATATGTTATTAATATTAGATATTAATTTTAATGTAAAAATTAGATATGTATATATCAATAATATTTACTGGTAACAAGCCTTGAACATGTAACACAACAACATGGGTTTTTAATTTCTTTGGTTCGATAACTCTTCTACATCGACTACGCAGATTGTATATTGGTGGTTTCATTCTTTCTATATCATCTTTAATAGACTGAGCTCGTTTAGCTATCTTTGGTTCATCAATGTTATACTTGTCTATAATGGCATCCAATGCTTCACGAACTCCAAAAGTAGAGGTTATGTGCGCATAGTTGTCTACATTTTTAACAAACAATTCTAAAATGTCTAAACCCAAATCAATAATCTCAAAATCTGATGCTTCAAGGACAAATGCTACGTACGAAAGAACTGTTTTGTCCTGGAATCAAAAATTTATAATTACAATAACATAGTATTATATTTAACAAAAAACTTACCTTTAAAATTGTGTCATGATTTGAAACATCATTAGCCAATTTTTTGTATGTTTCAAGTGTTGCTTTTAATTCTTTTGGATTTACAGACTCGTCCACGTCCATCATCTATAAACGTAATGTTTACATTAAGTTGATCTAAAAACAATATGATCAAAGAAAACAAACGGTATACATCTGGTCACGTTACACGGTTATTTATTTTATGGCAATGATAACAATTCGAAAACTACATAGTAGCATTTCAATTAATATTTCTATTAAATGAAGTACAAAAGAATCACAGTTACGTTTCACGGTAGTCGAACGATTCCACGTTCACGAAGACATGACATTTCAAAGTATAGAACAAGTTTTAAACTGCTCACTGGGTCAAGTTCTACTTCTTTACCGTTTAGCTATAACATGTGTTATCTCAAATCATAGACAATCTGCTGCTTAAAAATTTTTAGCAATCAATAATATAAGGTCAGTGCAGACGATTTTACAAAATTGAGGAAAATCAGTGCTAAATCGGCTTTACATGAATGAAATCACTAGAATAATTGTGAGAATACAAAATATATTTCAATTTATACTTAACACAAAACGATATCCTGGAAGACAAAAAGTATTTTATAAAAAAAAACACAAATTTATGAAGTTTGTGTACGTCCAGCGCATACATAAGTTGTGTACGAATGTAACACGTGTATAAAAGTATGTATATATACGTAAACACGTACATGTATAAATACGTATAATACACATGCGTAATTCAGATAGATGTTCAGTATTACCCTACGTAGTAATAATAGCAACAGTCATGCTAATGCCAGCTGCTGCCAAATTGTTTCGATGACGCGCATATTGTAGTATAGTAGCGAAACTGGTGTTTGGATGACGTACTAGAATAAGATGGCCGACATTAGCTCTATCAACTACCAACAGCACAACACCCGTATTACTTCTCTAATGAACTTCCTCCTTATTTTACGGAATCGAGAGCTTTAGATTTCTATTAGTGTTTTTTTAAGCATTCCCAAACAGAGGTTGATGTAGTAGTCAATCTCTGACGGCTGTTGAGGGCAATAGGGAAGTTGAATTAAACGACACGTAAAGTAGAAACATACAGCTGACGTATTTTGAAATTCGCTTGTGCAGGTGATTGTTTGTAAAGTGGGCTAGTGTAGAGTGGACATTGATTATTAGAACAATGGAATACGTGCTAATAAAAGATATACGGCCGGGCCAGAAAAACATTAATGTGGTGTTTATTGTTCTGGAAGTTGGCCATCCTACTATCACTAAAGAAAACCGCGAAGTTCGAACGTTTAAAGTGGCGGACAGTACTGCATGTATGAACGTTTCAATTTGGGACGAACCTGGTCAACTTTTAGTACCGGGTGATATAGTTAGATTGACAAAAGGATACGCATCTGTTTGGAGGCAATGTCTGACATTGTATTCAGGAAAAAATGGAGATATTCAGAAAATTGGAGAATTCTGTATGGTTATAAATGAACAGTTAAATATGAGTGAACCAAATCCTGCTTTAGCCCAACAACTGATTAATCAAAGTGGATCTGGACCACCTGGTAGCAATGTTAACAATAGTATTACAAATAATGGAAATGCAAATAACATAGCTGGTCAACCAGGAAGACAACCACTGGTATGTTACTTTTCAAATCGCTTGTAATATAATAATGCTAGATATGTCAGTTTAATTGTAATGTTTCTATTTTGATTTATTTTCTTGTAGGCGATTCAAACTAATTCAACTACACCTGCCAGTGGTACATCAGGTAGTTCTGCAACAACAAAAAGTGGAAATGGCAGTAATGGTAATAATGGTGGAAATGGAGGTAATGCTTCAGGACTTCCAGGAGGATCTGCAAGATATTCTGGTGATTCAACAACAAAAACCACAGTTGCAACAAAAACTAATGCCCGTGGTCGTGGGGGCTATCGAAATGGTGGACGTAGTGATCGTAGATAACACACAAACAAAAAACGACTAATAATATATATGTAATATGAATATGAATATGAATATGAACTGATTACATTCAGGACAACTGTAATATACTGTTTTTGTAACAATTCTGTATATGTGTATTCATGAATCAATGTATACGATAGAGTCTGATTAAAACAATATATGAATTAAAGACAATCGAATTGTAAACACTAGAGTAAATAGTCATTGATAATTTAATAATCAAATAATTAAATTATTACTTGATGGTAATATCTTTGATTTATATATATATATATATATCGTATATAAAATAGTACATATATATATATGTATATATATACGATTTTATATTTAAAGTATTAGTTGTATAAAATTATATTAACCGATTGTCTTCAATTCATTATAAATGTATCAAAATTTTTCACTTATTCTGATAAACTAATATAGTATATAATACATTATATATGTAATTGCATTTAATTAGTAAATAATTTTGTTTAATAGTTTTTTAAAATATATTTTATAAAAAAGAAACAGAACCTTATGTATGTATAAGCATAATTTATACTATGTATATGATTTAAATTTATTCAACCCAATGAACACGTATCGTCACCTCAATATGTTTTCTAGCGAAAAATCTCTCCATCGAGACGCCGTAACGTTAATAAATGCAATGATTGCAGTGTTTTCATCTTGTGAGATAAATCACTCTCCATCTTACAGAGAAATACATCATTTTTAAGGAATCTTGTGCCTGATCGTATGGACATGTGTTGATAATTTGATTGAATATTTCAAGTGTTTGTTTACGGTTTTCAACAATATACCAATTAATGCAGTGTGTTATCGCTCGCACAAGATCCTTAACAAGATACCAAGTCCTTGACTTACACCTGACAATTAGAGTTGACACTTTATCTAAATCTGAAATAAAAGATAAAAATAAGCTCAATGGAAACTATCAACAACATTCATTGGTTTTTTACTGGCTATCATTTTACTACAAGTAGAAATATACTTCATGATCAC